AAAATTACTGAACTAAATTTACCGGTCACCACAAAAGAATACAAGAAGTAAAAAAACATTTCGTGAAACTTCAACGAACACAAACTTTTCACATATATTTATTTGACGGAAACGGAACGGGGAAGATACCGGACGAACTCTAGGTCAGTATATGGTTGTTGGTCAAACCCTTTTATCCTTTTCAGACATGTAGGTGAAGAACAAAGAAAGTACCTTATAACCTGTCAATGAGTTTTGCAAGGAATAGAAAGTTTTCGACAAATTCATAAGTTGTGATTCGTTATAGACTATAGTGACCAACCCCAAAAAAAAAAAAAAAGAGGTCATGAAATAACTTTTGACAAACTGCCTCCTATCAACAAGTAAACAATAAAATATATATATATTTTTTTTACAAATTCCGTCCTACACCTGAGTACTCTCATTCAATTGGCGCGTCGTCCCCTATCGATAGAAGGGGAGACCACCTAATAATATTTAAGTTTGTCGAAAAAATCACAAGTCTAGTCAGTATTATCAATTTCCAGGGGTAACAGACCGTAAGCTGACTAGTATTAAGGTAACAACTCCATATGATTTTATCTAAATATAACACGTTAACAATGGTTTATGTAACAAAAGAGTATGTCCTAAAAGACAATATCACAATACACATAAGTGAGAACAGGATTTTGCGAACAACCCTCAAGGACGGTGGCGGGGGAGGATACCGGGCAACCGGCAAGACGTTCTGTGTTTTGTGTGGTACGTCGCACCGACCCTCAAACACACACACGAGTGGTGTGGCTGAGGTGTCGGAGCGCGCAGGGTGGCAGGAGTCCCCTCCCTCTTTAGGCCCGTCTGAGACGTCGACTCCTTGTATAACCACACAACACACACACGACACACACACACCACACAAACACACACACTGACACACACACACACACTCCTTCAGCGAAAAAAAAAAACAAAGTACCAGATACAACTGCCACAACTGAAGGTTACTTTCTGATATAAACATATAGAAGAGTTTGCTTGCGACTGTCTTTTGGAATTGTGAAGATTGGTTTCGGTGGTTGTAGCGCTTACCGCTCATCTACATTAATTTTTGTAAGTGGTAAAATAATAAAGAAGAAGGAACGTCACTCCACTTTCCGACGGAACGTGAACCGAACGGTCATTCCTACAAGGAGTGCGTCCGACAAAAAGCGAAGATAATAAAAGTTACAGTGCAGTTTAAGATGTGAATAGTTCAATTAAAAGCAGCGGCAAAAAGAAAAGTCTTCAGCCTGGAATTAAAAGTAGTAAGAGTTGCAGCGGACCTGCAGGTTTCTGGGAGCTTGTTCCAGATATTTGGAGCATAATAACTGAACGCTGCTTTACCATGTTTAGTTCTGACTCTGGGGACAGAAAGCTGACCCGTCCCTGAAGACCTGAGAGATCTGGATGGTTCATAATTTAGCAGGAGGTCAGAAATGTGTTTTGGGCCTAAACCATTCAGTGCTTTATAAACCAGCACCAGTATTTAGAAATCTATTATTTGACACACAGGAAGCCAGTGTAAAGACTTCAGAACAGGAGTGATGTGATCCACTTTCTTAGTGTCAGTGAGGACTCGAGCAGCAGCGTTCTGAATCAGCTGGAGCTTTCTAATAGATTTTTTAGTGAGACCTGTGAAGACACCATTTTAGTAGTCCAGTCTACTGAAGATAAAAGCATGGACAAGTTTTTCCAAATCCTGCTGTGACATAAGGCTTTTAATCCTAGATATGTTCTTTAGGTGATAGTAGGCTGATTTAGTAACTGTTTTAATGTGACTGTTGAAACTCAGGTCAGAGTCCATGACTACACCTAGATTTCTGGCTTTATCTGTTGTTTTGAACATCGCAGACTGAAGCTCAGCGCTAACTTTTATACGTTCTGCCTTGGCTCCAAAAACCATTACCTCAGTTTTATCTTTGTTTAATTGGAGAAAGTTCTGACACATCCAGTCATTGATTTGTTCAATGCACTTACTCAGTGTTTGAATTGGAGCATAGTCTCCTGGTGAAATTGTTACGTGAATTTGTGTGTCATCCGCATAGCTATGGTAACTTATTTTGTTGTTTTTCATTATCTGAGCCAGTGGTAGCATGTAGACGTTAAAGAGAAGAGGCCCCAAGATGGAGCCTTGAGGTACCCCACATGTCATATTTGTCAACTCAGAAGTGTATTTACCTATAGAAACAAAGTTGTTTCTGTCCTTTAAGTAGGATTCAAACCAATTTAGAACTGTTTCCGAAAGTCCCACCCAGTTTTCTAATCGGTCTAGTAATATGTTGTGGTCAACAGTGTCAAACGCAGCACTGAAATCTAATAATACTAACACTGAAGTTCTGCCACTGTCTGTGTTTAAGTGGATGTCATTGAAGACCTCAAAATAGTCATTTGTAAAGCTCAAATGACATTTACAGTACTAATGCAGGGTCACTTTGAGTTCAAAACACAGTGCAATACCATTAGGGGACACCTTGCCTTTCATTAAGTAAATGCTATAGATCTAAGGATGCTCTTATTGACTCTTAGATAATACACATCCACCGACATCAATATTTTTTTAAGAGACTTTTTCTAATGCAGTCCTGCTGAAAAAATGTGCAAAGTGTGAAGTGAGGCTTAGACATGCAGAATGTGAACAGCCAAGGAAATCAGAATTTAGAATTCCTTTATTAGCCCACAAAGAGGAAATGTATGTTGCTACAGGAAAGTATAAGTAGAGATGAAGAAAATAGAACACTCTTATATAAAAAACGCATTCTCGTAGTATTTATAAGATAAAATAAAAGAAGGAAACTGCTTAGGGCCACGGGTAGTAAGGGGCCCCCAAGTGATGACACGCTTGATGCGACATCAATGTCCTTTTAAAAACCAATCAACCATTTACAATGACATCAATAAAAAACCTCTCTAAAGCAGCCACTTGCCATTCTAGTCGAGCTATGTGCAGACAACTCTGTGGTCACAGTATTGGTTCCTTTGAGTTGATACATGTAAATGAACACAACCTTTTGAGTTTTTATACTTTTTGCCAAACATTGGGGCAGTTTTTTTCGGGATTCCTCGTTAAAGTAATTGCACATTCGATACCGGTCATTACATAAAATGTTTACATGAATAATTACAAAAAATAATTTTCAGTTTAATCGTTTACATTTCCCACTTCTGTAGAGGTAGGCTGTGTAAATCACTGACCAATCCAAAGGCCATTTCTGCTGGTGTTAAAAATGATTTGAAAAAGTGTTATATATATATATATATAGTTAGTAACCTGTTGTTTAAACCGTAGGTGTCTTTTTAGCATTACCTTACTCATTAATTTAGATTTTTGAGTCCTTGTGTTTAGCTAGGAAGTTTTGTTGCTGGCACCATTATATTGTATTTTGAACTGTTATTCCTGATAGTAATCCCTATTGCTACTAGGTATATTTGTAATCTGATGACGTTCTTTCTTTCTGTAATGGGGAGCACTGCAGTAATCTGGCCAGTTTGATTTTAAAGGATTATTCTGTGCTTTAATTTGTGTCCTTCTGCCCTCACGTGTGCCAAAAGTGTGTCCTAATGTGAAGTATGGCATAGCTAGCTAACAATGCTACGTGGTCGAAATTCACATGCTGCACAAGTGTGCTCAATTAACAACACACCGTCTATCTAATTCTAAATCTAAATACAAACTAGCAGAGGTTAAAAAAAGGTCAGCTGACACAAAAGCAATATAAGTTATTACTAGCATCACTGATAACTTTACAGTTAGAAGAATGGCGTCTCAGTTTGGATTAAGTTATTAAACTTCCTTCTGCACTCATCTATTTCTATTTTCAGTACATAGCAAGCCATCAACAATACATGGTTGGAATTCAAAAGTGTTCACAGTGAACATGCTGTTGTACTAAGGGAAATGTCTGAAATTAGACACAGCATTAGTCTTTGTTTGACTTAGGGACAGTATTGGTCCCATGTCATTATTATTTCTGTGATGATAAAATGCAGATTTGGTGACAAACCCTGAACAGTAAAACTCACTTAAGGACAGGTTTCTTGCTTGTTAGCTTGATATTCTTCTCTATGAGCTTTAGATCCTATAATTAATGTTGTGACAGTCAGATCATTTTTTTCACAATACAATTGGATAGTATTATTATTAATAATAATAATAACTTTAATTTATATAGCTCCTTTCATTAACCCAAAGCCACTTAACAAGAAACATAGAAGGACAAGAGTCAAGACATAAATACATAAAACAGGGTAGATTTGAAGATGTTCAGAGAAGGGGCATTACAGATTTCAGCAGGGAGGGAGTTCCAGAGGGTGGGGGCAGCTACACTGAAGGCACGGTCTCCGAAGGTGCGGAGGCGTGAATGGGGAATGGAGAGTCTGAGGATCGAAGGGTGCGGGATGGGATGTAAGGGTGGAGGAGATCTGTGAGGTACTGAGGCGAGAGGGCATGGAGGGACTTGTAGGTGATGAGGAGGAGTTTGTAGGTGATGCAGAACTTGACCGGTAGCCAGTGGAGGTTGAAGAGAGTGGGGGTGATGTGCTGCCAGCGCTTGGTGCGTGTGAGAACCCTGGCAGCTGAGTTCTGGATGTACTGGAGCCTGTCCAGGGTTTTGCTGGGAACCCCGGACAGGAGTTATTGAATGTAATCCTATCACAATACAAGTCATGTAGCATGTTACCAACACATTTCAAAAGGAGCTTTGAGCCTGTGAAATTAACCGCCTCTGAGCAGTAATTATGTGTAAAAAGAATTCCATTTGGAATAGTACAGCACATTTACACTGTTTCAAGGCATAGAGTAGACGTTCGTATAATGAGGCATGAATACATAACACATAACTCAGTTAATCGGCTGCTTGGATTTGAAGAACACTAGCAAACAGAGACAATGAATATTTTATACACATTTTTACATCATTTAACACCTGGCAGAAGTGTTAGGGATATGCAAGCGCACACTTCACTTATTCAAACCAAATCACACTCACTGAATATGAGAATAAGCAGCAACAGGATCCAAATTACATTCTGACAATTTTTGCCTTGATTGAGTATTGTTTATAAATAGAAAATACAAAAGCCAGATAGCAGAAAATGGTAAGAATAATCAGTTTCAAACAAAATTAAACAAAATACACACGCTTGCAAGAATAGTGGGCAGCACATCAGAACTATGTAAACAACTGCGTCTCAGTTTGGATACTTCTGTTATTACACTTCCATTAAGTACACCGTGTACACTGAGTACTTGCATAGTGCATGCATGTCAACCAGTGACGTGCGGTGAGGTTCATGGCTGGTGAGGCACTGACTCTTTCAGAGTCAGATTTACAAATATTATATTTTGACCTTAATCAAAATATTCGGTTATTTTCAAAAGCTTTTTTAGTCTGATGCTTCAATTCATTTTAAACAGACCGTTCAACAAAAGGATACCCACAATCTAAATGTTGGATTGTTCTTTCTTTGTAAGATCCCATTTTCATTAAAGTTGTGGTCTTACCTTGACTTGAAGATTAAGTCCATGCTCTGAAGTATTATTTGAATTATTTGAAGTATTAAAGTAACGTGTTATGGCAGGAAAGTTCAATCTGGTATATTCATTTTAATGTCACC